TGTTAGTGGTGGGGGTCTTGCTTTTGCTCAGGCTGGTCTCCAACCTGTGAGCTCAGTCAACCCGCCTAAGCCTCCCAAGAGTGATGGGATTATAGGTGTGATCCACCTTCCCACCCCCTTGTGTCCTTCCATTTCTAACATTGCAGTTTTATACATTGTAGTTCAAAGTGAAGACCTTATTTACCCTTTGGTTAACCAATAATTGGCAAAACCCATGACTCATAAATAATTAAGAAGATTCTAATTTAAGGCCAGCACGGTGGTTTATGCCTGCTAATCCTAGCACTGTGGGAGGCAGTCAGGTGGATTGTCTGAGCAAGAGACCCTGTTTCTAAAAATTAGCCAGTCGTTGTGGCAGCTGTCTGTAGTCCCAGCTACTTGGAAGGCTGAGGCAAGAGGATCAAGGATCACTTCAGCCCAAGAATTTGAGGTTGCTGTGAGCTGTGATGCCAAAGCACTCTACCCAGGACAGCAAGGTGAGACTTTGTCACAAAAAAAGACAAAAAACAAAAACTAACTTAAAAGTTAAGCTCCTAAGTCAATCCACCTATACTACTCAAGATAGGCATCTTCAGGGTGGGAGGTAAATTTACAAGACAGTAAGAATGGGAGATAAGGCGTGAAGGTCAGACAGGACCCAGCCCACCAGACCAGCTGCTGTGTCATGTCTGCCCTAACCTGACAGACTCCATTTTATTCTCACCATATGTACTTTCATCCTGACTCAATTTTCCACTGTTTCCCATCCTACCTAACTTTACTGTTAAGCCTTTTCCTGATAAGCAGGCCCCCTTGCCCCCAGTCATTAACCTCTTTGGAGAACGTTCCCTCCACTCCCTGGTCTGGGGGAATTTTCAATCTGAGGACTCTTGTAGCAGGAAACCAACGCAGACAGAAGACTTCAGGCACCAGTTTATTAGAAGAAGCGGCTTTATTTCAGCTGGGGGTGGGGGAGAATTGGTTTTGGGACCAGTGTGTCTCCAAAACCCAAAACCGAGCCCCCCACCTCAATCTCTTGCCTCTCTTTTATCCACTTTTCAGGGCAGGAGTGCAGGTGAAGGGCATAAAACAGAGAGAGAGATGACATCATCCTCAAGGTCCTGGGCTCAAGGGGAAGGTCAGATTTGCTCGCACCCTTGAGACCTGTTGGACCACCTGCCCTCAAAGGCGACAGAAGTCCAAGGAAGTTACTAGGTTAAAATCCAGGCCCTATGCATGACAAGGGAGGAACATACAGACACCAGAAACTCTGCGGCTTGGCTGAGGCCTACACAGGGCAGCTAGGGCAGATCCTTTTAGCTCTGCTTTTACTGTCTTACCTCACTCTCATTCACAGGCGTCCCTCTCCAGAGTGTGTGATGATTTCGCTTATTTCTCCATTGTGACTCCAGCTCCAGGCTCTTTCCATTTACGGCCTTCCCCCTACGGTACTCAAGTTTCTACTCACAAATATTCTCATTTCTAACGCCATATTTCCTTATCCCCATCTTGGTTCTTAGCACTTCTAAGTCTGCTCCACCTGTGAAATCTCCAAACTTTTGACCACTACTTCCTTCTTTCCTTCTCCCCTTGGAGACTTTCCTTCTTGGACACTTTCCTTCTCCTCTTGGAGGCCCACAACCGCTCACCTTCTCCTTCGCAGCTCCACCTTACCTGGCTCCCGAGCACTCCCTCCCCCTGCAGGGCTCAGGCAGTCCCCAGCCTCCAGCGCTGGCCCCAACCTGCAGGTTGGCGTCTCCACTAGTCTGGGGGAAGACATATCCACTTCACTAAGGCATTGATTCAGGGTCAAGAACTGTGCGTGGCATTTTTTAACTCTCTCGTTTTTCTTTCTTTCTTTCTCTTTGAGACAGAGCCTCAAACTGTTCCCCTGGGAAGAGTGCTGTGACATTACAGCTCACAGCAACCTCCTCCTGGGCTTAAGCGATTCTCTGGCCTCAGCCTCCCAAGTAGCTGAGACTACAGGCGCCTGCCACAACGCCCGGCTATTTTTTGGTTGTAATTGTCATTGTTGTTTGGCAGACCCGAACTGGATTCGAACCCACCAGCTCTGGTGTATGTGGCTGGCGCCTTATCCGCTTGAGCTACAGGCGCCCAGCCCTCTCTCGTTTTTCTGACCATTCACACTTCATCCAGCGCTCACTATCAAGCCAAGGAGGCGTGCCCCACCCGCCGCAGGACGCTACTGGCCGCGCAGCCGCAGGGGCGGGGCATGACGGGTGGGGGCGGGGCGTGAGGGGGGTGGGGCGTGAGCGGGGCGGTGCCTGGGGTCCTTAGCGCGCGTTGTGCGCGCCCGAGCTGAAGAGTTTCTGAAGGCTGAGGGCCGCGTGCCGCCACCGCCCTCTTAGGAGGCGCGGGCCGGCGGAAGCCATGTTTGTAGCGCGCAGCATCGCGGCAGACCATAAAGATCTCATCCATGATGTCTCTTTCGACTTCCACGGGAGGCGAATGGCGACATGCTCCAGCGACCAGAGCGTTAAGGTGTGCTCGGCCCTGGGGGCAGGGCCGAGCCTAGGAGGAGGGAAAGGGGGTGGGTGGCGCGGGGAAGGGGGACTTGTCTTGATTTTAGTGCATGCCACCGGCACAAGACCTGGAGCCCGGGGGTGGCGGGCGAGCCCCGCTGGCCACCCATGTACGCAGCTAGAGCGCTCCCCGCCGGCGTATTGTGGGGTCACGGCGGTCCCGGGGGCCGCGCTCCAGTGCGCCTGCGCGTGGTGGCGTCCTGCCCACGCGCGCTCCCGCTGGCTGGGACGCTGGGCGCACGCGGCGGGCGGCATCCCCGAGTGGAGCGGCGGCCTCCGGGGCGTCTGTGCGCCCGCGCCGGGGCTGGGCGCCTGTGGGCCTCGCACCGCGGTGGTGCAGCCGCGGGACTCTCGGCCGGCCTGCCGGTGGGGGCGGGGGTCGTCAGTAGGCGGGCGTGTGGCAAGTTCGTTGCTTCTCTGCTGCTTTTTCAGCTGTGGAGTTTTCCTCGGTTCAGAGGAGCTTACTTTGTTTCGCAAAGAAAAATACAAGCCATTTAGGTCTATTGAGGTCCCTACTTGCTCTCTGGGAATTGTAGTGTTTTTTTCGTTAAAGTTCTGTGAACGTCTGTAGACTGTTCTGACAAGAAGAATTGCTAATACGGGATTTGGGAGGCTCTCAGATACGTTACCGGGTAAACGATAATAGAATTGAAGACGAAACCTGGAGTGTGGATTTTTTGAATTCTCGACAACTTTGCAGTAATTGGAAATCTAAAGGACACTTTTAACTTTTTCACATTCAAATTTGAGACCTGTGATTTCTCAAAGAGAAAGGTTTTATTACATTAAGTTATCTATCGAATAACCACTGCATTAACGATTCTTAAAAGGCTTAATATCGCTTTTAAAAGAAATTTTGTGGTAAAAACTGTTTTGCAATGTTCAGTTCAGTGGCGTGGAGCACCTGTCACCACTCTGCCCACCAGCTCTCATACCCCCACCCCATCCCCAGGTGAACCTCTGCTCTACTTCCTATGAATTTGCATATTTTACTCATTTCATATAAATGGAATCATAGAATATCCCTTTGTGTTTGGGTTATTTCATTTAGTAAACTCTCAAGTTCACTCATTGTAGCATGTATCAGAATTTCACATTTTAAAGGCTGGATGATGTATGTAGTTAGCATATTTTGCTTATCCTTTTATCCATTTATATAGTAATATAATGCTGCTGTAGACATCAGTGTACAAATATTTGTTCAAGTCTTTGCTTTTCTATTTTTGGGAAACATTTCTCAGATATAATTGTTGGTATGAATGGTCTAAATATGTTGATGGAATATATATCAAATGATAAAGCTTGAGATCAGTTTTACTGATTTATAAAGAGGCTGCAAAGGAAGGTTCCCCCCCCCCAAAGAGTTTTTAGCGGGAATAATAATTATGGTTGTTTATATTTTATTAGTATTTAATCTGTTTGTTGTTGTGTGGCCTTATGTCTATTTTTTTATTTTTTGAGACAGAGTCTCACTTTGTCACTTTCATAGTGCTATGGCATCACAGCTCACAGCAACCTCAAACTTTTGGGCTCAAGTGATTCTCTTGCTTCAGCCTCCCAAGTAGCTGGTACTACAGGCACCTACCCAATGCCCAGCTATTTTTAGAGAGGAGGGTCTCCTCCCTTGCTCAGGCTGGTCTCAAACTCCTGACATAGACAGTCTACCCGCCTCTGCCTTCCAGAGTGCTAGGACTACAGAGCCACCACATCTGGCCAGAATGAAGTGTTCAGTTCCTAAGCACAGGAAGACTGTGGTGTGCCTTAGAGATAAAATATGTAGGTTAGAGAAATTACCTTTCGGCATGACTTAACAGTGCTGTTGGCTTGAGTTCAATGTAATTGAATAAATAATATATGTCAAACAGGTTATCTTTAAACAGAATCATGCATAAAACAAGGTCGTATATGGTTGACAAAAATGTTAGACCAGAGGCTCACAGGAACCTAACCTTGTATTTTTCCTAGGAGCAATGTTTCAGCAGTTAAGGCAACTTCATAGAATATAACTTGAATAATGAGACTTTGCTATAACTGTTTCTATTGTCTCTATTGCCTGTTAGAGTGCCACTTTTGGATCCCTCCGTAGTAGGCCCAGTAGCTGAGACATTGAAGGTTCTCAAATGTTTTATTGAAGGAATCAATGTTTACTTGGTGGTTGTATTCTTTTGCCAGTATTATGTTCACTTTTTGCCTGTACACTGATTCAGTCTTACAGTTTCTTTGTATTAATTTGTAGGAATTCTTTGTATAAAATAGCTGTCTTTTATTTTCTTCCAGGTGTGGGATAAAAGTGAAAGTGGGGATTGGCATTGTACTGCTAGCTGGAAGGTTAGTATTTCACAGTGATTAAAAAATAGAAATACTGGCTCCAGCCACATATACCGGAGCTGGCGGGTTCGAATCCAGCCAGGGCCTGCTAAACACCAATGACAACTACAGCCAAAAAGTAGCTGGGCTTTGTGGTGGTTGTCTGTAGTCACAGCTACTTGGGAGGTTGAGGCAAGAGAATCACTTAAGCCCAGGAGTTGGAGGTTGCTGTGAGCTGTGATGCCACGACACTCTACCCAGGGTGACAGCTTGAGGCT